CTACCAAAGACAAATCCAAGAACTCAAAAGAATGCCAGAGGCTGCTCATATGCCCATTTCCTCTCTACTGTCCTGGCAACCACTGCCTTGACTGTACATATGCTAAATGGTTAACTTGTTTGGGGATTCTGCTGGCCTGTAAACAAAGCATTGGCCTCTGCCTCTGGGTACCCTCACTGGTACAGCTGAGCAGTTACCTCATGTTTTAAAACTGTTCCAGTCACCTTTGATGTATTTATAATTGCAGTGCACATCTAAAATTAGGACAGGTGTTTAATCCAAATTCAGGAACACTTAAGTGTTTATGGTCACTGATCTTAAAGCTCTTCTCTCTGAGGACTAAGTTGAATAGCTCTATTGGTTTTCCAGAGGAGATTTGTCAAAAGTGTTTCAACAGCCAGCATCAGAATTCCTTAGAACTGTTGTTTGTGTGCTGGCAGTCTGATTCAGGAAGCTTATGCAGTCTAAATTTCCTAGCAGTTAGTTTGCCTTCTACAAAATAAGTAATCAAACTGACACTTCCTACCAGTCTTCATCCTGTGCTCTAAGAGCTTGGGGCAAGACACACTTACGATGGCACAGGTTGAGGAGAATTTTACAGAACCATCAGAGCAACCACTTGAGATTCTGAATTGCTGGATTACTGGAAGTCTCATTTTTATAGGTAAGTAATGCGAACAGGGATCTAACAAGAATTATGGTTTAGCCAGTCTGGTGCCTTGATTTTCAGTAGAGTGGGAATCACACTTAGCCCATTTGGTCTTCTGCTACAGATCAGCATGCATGTGGAAAGAGCTAAGGTGAAAAGGGGAGTACTTTCTCCACTGGGATATCAGAATATTGCAATATTCTGAGTTAAAAGGGACCCACACGGATCATGAAAGATTGCCTTAGCAAAGAGAATTGCCTTTGGTAAGATGAATGTGTGAGAAGGCCACTTTTATTTACAGTCACTTCAGCTGCTCCCTCCTTTGGGGTGTTTAGTCTCAGGAATCAAAGCTGCTGGTTTTGTGTAGGGTGAGTGTCCATGTTGCTGTTATGTAAATGACACTCCTGATCTCTAGGTCAGTAATAGAAGTCTTGCAGCCCTGTTTGCTTAATTCTTTAACTGCAGGATGGGAGTGGTAAATTTCAGTACTTTCTGCTAATGGAAGAACGTCTTCTGAGATAGTATGTCAAGTGTGGTAGAAGCTGATGGCATTGGTTATGAACCTTTTGTCTGAGGTGTGCTTGCAGGTACTTTTGCAATTGTGAAACAGGCCTTGGGTCACTCAAGGCAGTTTTCTGGATGTGTGTTAGGAGCACTGACGTTTCAAGTTCAGCTTTACAAGAGACAATTCATCGTGTCAAACAGGGTGGAGGTTCTCAAGTTCTGTTCCAGCTAAACCAAAAGCTTCTGTGGCACAACACTGCAGTAAAACAGCTGGTGGTGTTATAGTCCAAACTGGACATAGTGGTGGGGGAGGTAGTGGACCTAAAGACTTTTCCCTTACTGTGTAGGCCTAGGGTGTTGTCCTGCTGATCCCTCGTGAGAGGGAATGAAGACAGCCAGAGTGATCTTAGTAGCAAGGGTAGATGGGCATAGATTTGAAAATACTCTCCTTGAATAGGAGAAACACTTCTTTTACAGTAAGTGGTAAAATACAGGTGTGGAATCCTCCATGTGGATTTGAAACCCAGCTGATGATGTGCTGGGCAAATGTCTCCAGTTGCTTTGAGCAGGGAGTTGGACTAAGTGATCTCAAAGAGGTTTGTGCCAAGCTAAATGATTCCCATAAGTGTCCCTGCTAGCTTCCTGGGCTTACTGTTTTTTCCAACCCTACCTTCATCTAGAGATCCTTCCAGGGAAGGAGGAGGAACAGTTGCATGCCACAGCCCCTAAGTTTTAGAGTAGGTCTCTCTCATCCTAGTAGTGTTAGGAATCACCAGATAGGACTAAGACACTACCTCAAGGTTGTAGTTGAGCTGTCCTGAAAAAGCTTAGAAAAAAGTAATCAACTTGTGGCTATAGAGTTTCGATGGGGGAAATACATGGCTGGATGAGGAATAGTAGTAGCTGGTCAATTTGCACCCTGTTAGGATAACATTTAATAAATTAATGATAGCTAATGGCTAAAGGAGAAGGTTAGTGAAGATTTAAGGGCCTGCTAATAAGATCAGTCTAATTATTTGGGTAATCCTATAGCTTGGAAGGTAGATGAGCAGGTAATGCAGGAGTGCAGCTGATGGCCCCACTGTAGGCAATGTGCATTCGGTGTTTCGGCTTTCAGCAAGTCTAAAGACCGGGCTTTCAGGGCTAAGGCAGCTGCGTCTGCTGCTCTGGTGGAGTGGGCTGCTCTCAGAAATTGTTCACCAACAACTTGGGCACAATGAGTAGTAAAATTACTGCTTTCCTGCATTTATGTGTGTCACTTCTGTGACTATACTGTGTTTATTTGACTCAGTCCAGTTAAGAGAAAAACTGGTTTGCTAACTGTTGAGTAACTAAGGGGAGTTCCCATACTCTCCTTGCTGGCCATTCCTAGTGGGGGTGGGAAATGCTAGAGGCACTTGAAAATTTCTCATTCAAATACTGCTTTTAAAAATGGCTTTTCTATGGAGATCTTCATGCTGTAATGGACAATTAAGGAAGTTTAATTCCGTTTTTTAAATCAGACTTTTCAGTTAAAAACAAACTCTGCAGAACTTTTGTAAAATTAAGTCTTGAAAAGTAATCTTTTTTTACCTATGAGAATAGGAGGTATTTGAGATGGCAATGTATATTAGTATTCTGGAGGATGCAATGTGAATATAAAGAAAAAAAATGTCATCTTCAACCAAAAGGGACAATTCTGAAACTTGTGTACTACATTTTATACCTATGCTTAACGGAACCTTGGAAAGGAGATTGAATCATCTTTGGGACAGAGAAAGAAATGATGGAGAATTTGAGAGATCTCTTTTCTATTTATACATACCTTTATCATTAGTACAGATCTGTGACTGGAATGAGGAGAACTAGCTTCTGTGCTCCGTTGTCTGGTTTTGAAAAAAGTTTACTCCTACAAGAATAGATGCAGCTTGTCAGATTTGTATGTATTCTGTTTCTGAAGAATTCAGTTGTTGGTATCTGTGTATACACTTTAAAAAGGTGGGGTTTTAGGACTTACACTGAGTTTGTGAAAAAAATACAGAAACTACTGGAGTAGGGGTGGGTATCTTAGTTGTCCAGTTTTCTGTAAGGACAAGTCTGATATCATAGTGTCATATTTGGATGAGGTAAAATAGCAGTTTTGAAATGGTTGATTCCCTTCTAGCTGCTCCTTAGAAAAATAATTCCTATGGCTTTTTCAAATAAGAACTATGGAGAGGAGAGCATTTATTTCAGTGTCCTGAATTTGAGAGTCCTGAGATACTGTTCAAGAAATTGTGCAGAGATAACTGAGACACCGTCAGAGAAGATCCAGTTAAGATGACTTCAACAGTAATAGCCTAAAGATGAGGCACATTCCCTGCACAACTCTGGTTGTGCAATGTGACACAGTAACTCCTGATAACATTGAGAGTTTCAGCTTCAGGCTGTTGACAAATGGGTCTGCTTTTTACTGGGTGCTGTATGCATGCAGAGTAGCAGATAGTTTCTGCTTTAAGATCCTGCGATTCAAAGAGGATGTCATGCAGTGTTCTGTAGCGACTGCACACTGATACTTGGCTTTTTTAGGAGAGCTGAACAGAAAGAATATGGAATTAACAGAATAGCATGAGAGGAAGACAAAAGTTTGATGCAAATGTCTAATAATTGGTGCAGGATGAATCCACCACTATTTTCTGAATAATAGCCGCACTCAAGGGTTGGAACCCCTGCCTTGCTCCTGCAGGGTGTTCTCAAATGGCAAGGGTGGTAGCTGGATTTATACTTTAGCTAGATTATATATTATATATACTATATATTTTTTATATATATATAGAGTGTATATATATATATATACACTATAGTATTATAGTAGGTAGCTGAGTTACATATTATTTGTAGTGGCCCCGAAAACTGGAATAGAGTATTTAGATTGTTCCAAATGCATAATCTTCATCTTGCAGATCAGACCTTTGGGTAGGCATGTACTTCCCTATTAGTATACCAGTACTTTTATCAGTAGTAATTGGACACCCTCATCAGCAAAAAATACCAACTCTCCATATAGTATCTCTTCCATTTAGGTATCACCATATTGTGCTGGCTGGTTCCCGGTGACAAGGCAACCCCTCAGGGATCAGACAGGTATTCCCCTTCCTTCCAGGTCAGAGAGGCTTGAAATATGGATAGTTGCTGACTATCATCACCACAGCACAGCTCTGGTCCTGTGCCTTCTTAAAAGGGCATGTGCTTTTTGGCAGCCAGAAAAGTGCTACTAATGGCCCTTGGGAGAAGGAATTTCTGCTAGCTTTTTATGTGTCCAGAATTACAGAAAAGCTGTCTCTTTCTGGAATGAGAGCTAATTAATTTTTTTAAACTAAGTAGGTTTTTTTTCACCCTACTAAAATACACAGCCCTTGGAATAAAATGGGAAAAAGAGGATCATCTTTCCCAACTTTCTACTGGGTTATGATTTCTGATCCATTAGATGATTTGCAACCATGGGAAGGCTGTGGAGTTTCACAGTTCCCTCTATTTTTAAGGTCTTTACGACTCTGACTACCATAGTTTTTATTCTTTTCTATTAAATAAGCACTGTTTTTCAGAGACAAATTAAACTTGAGGCCTTTGAAATACCTGTGAAGCTCCCTATGTCTGAAGTGGAAATGCAGGTTCTTTTATTGATGCCAAATTAGTCAGACAGACTAGGGAAATCATAATTTAAGGTTAACTCTAAAGCTCTGTGGTCAGTATAGTCTTTACATTGATTCAAAAGATTTTGAATATGCCTAAAAATAAAGCTTCTTAATGGATTGGGATGTGTGACAATTTCCAATAATTCAGATTTGATTCACAGTGCTATGTCATTAGAATTCATCCTTTTTTTTTAAAGATGGTAGCAGTAAGACACTGCATAATTGATTTGCACTTTCAACTCTAGGAATGCTAGGCATTTTTCCATGCATTTAATAATGGCGTTTATTTATACACGCATTGCACTTTAAAAGGTTGCTGATAAAAAATATTAGAGGATTGTCATCTGTTGATTCTCTGAGGAAGCCATCCATCCTCACCAGGCAGATTAAAGGCAGTTTTCAAGTTCATCTGAAAATTAAGAGCAAAGGAGCATTTCAGCAATTCTTGTCATTTTAGTAATTCATTATTCTACCAACAGGACAAATTCTTTAATTTTTTAAATGGACTGCAATGTCCAGGCTAATAATGAAGGGTAGTTACACCTCTCTCATAGCTTTTCCATCCCCTTCCACCTCAGCAGTATAATTGGATTGATGCTGTGGGGATTTCTGCAGGCAGTAGCTTTCCTAAAACCTTTAAAATATGTGGTTCTTTGCTGGGTCTTGGAAAAAATGCTACAAAATAATCTCCTTTTGTCAGCTTTTTCTTTCCCTTGAATTTACCTGTGTTCTTCCTTTCCCCAAGGAAGTATAAGCTAAGGAGACCCATTCCACATACCCTGAAGAAATCTTCAGGTGGTCCAAGCTGGAGGTCCTTACACTGCCATGATGTAGATTCATCATTTATTTGGCATAAATTACACTTGAATATGGGTGTTATTGCCAAGATTCTCATAAATTCTCTGGGTACTGAAGAGATGTATAAAATGCTTTTGCTGTTTTTCTCTTCTTAAAAAGTAATCTTCACTACACAAGCAATGAAATTCAGGGAAAAAAGGGAAAGGGCCTCATATATGTGGTCCTTGCTTTCTTGGCTGCCCCTAGCTAGAGATAAGTGCTTTCATGTTAGCAGTTGAAAAATAATTAAAATCAATAATTTTCTTGAGAAGTAGATTGGAAGTATTATCAAGCCTGAGACCTTATTTCCCATCTGCATTGAAAAGTACCTCATTGCATTCTGCCTGTGAAGTGTAGGCAAACTGTTACTGAGGTAATTTGCTGAACAGTCTTAAGCAAACTGGCAGTTTTCAGAGAACATCTGATGCAATCACATTTTCTATCAGAAGCATGGGGAAAATGCATCCCATATGCAAATGTGCATGTTTGTATCTTTGCCCTCTCTTCTGCACCTAGCCAAAGCAGCCCGTTTTCACCAAAAATGCTGATAGTTACATCCATTCACTGTTTGCTTAGTAGGATGGAAGAAGTCGTGTAATGGTGTCCTCCAATTTACTTGGGCCTTTACTTCTCAAAGGGAATTTTTCAAAAAGGGCAAAATTTCACTGCTGATCTAATACAACTCTGGTGAATACTTTAGCTTTTCCAGACAAGAGGCTTCTCTTAGCTTTTCATATCTCTAGATTGTTTTCTCTTCAAAATGCAGAGCTGGTGTGTTTAATTGTTTGATGAACCCCAGTAGGTCCAGTCATTTTTGTGAGATAACTTCCTTTTAACTCCACTGTTCAGAAGCTATCATTGTGGGCGGTACTTTTTGTCCTGAATCTCTGTGCTTGAGATAGCATAGGGAACAGGAGACTGTCTAGTGTGATAGGTACCCAGCAAAAAATCTTTTCACCCCTTGAACAGAGATTTTACCTCTTCAGTGAAACTTAGAAGACTTTTCAGTGAACCTACAGAAGACTTGAACACTATGCGAACCTGTGGCCATGCAGAAAATAGCCCTGGTTCAGATCCTTACTGTTGCTTACGATATGTGTATATTCTAATTCACTCATCATGGAGAGGGTCTATCTCCCCTGCTTTCAGCCTCAAAGTAGATTCTAGCAAAGAAATTATTTTCCAGGCTTACTTACTGTTTGGCACAGCACAGCAATCTCAGTAATCTCGAGATGAAAACAGAAGTGGTTTATGAATTTTGAGCCATTCAGTCAAGCTACCCACAGCAATAAATCTGACATTCTCAGCTCAATATGAATTAACTTGCCAAAGAGGTTTTTGGCCATTTGCCATTTATAATTCTTCTATTTTTGTTTGAAGATGTCTTAATTTTTGTCTTAAAGTGCTTATTTTCCTTGTAAACATTCTCTATTATAATAGAGTAGTTTTGTGTAATTACTTAATTATAAATAGTGCTTTAGAAAATCATTGGCGCCTTAGCTTTGTGGAGAGCTGTACTTAAACAAGAACAGAACTTTGAATGATACCTATGCAAGAGGATGGGCTGTATCATCATGGGCTAAACCCATGAGTCAGTTTGTACCTTCAGTTCCACTATATTCTTTGTCGTGTCGAAGTCTGGGAAGTATCAGTTGCTTGAAGGTCCTGTCGTTGTGCTGTCTGTACTGACTTTTCCTTCCAGGACATTAACAGTATACCAGGGCATTAAACCCTCAGCTCTCTTCCAGCTCCCAGGTTTGCATGCAAGTAAATCAGATGAAAATTATGTGATAGGAAAACTGATTTATGTATTCCAACACTGAAGCACATCTGTGACTCCCATTTATATGCTTCAACTAAAGGCCACTGAAATCTCCTTTTGATTTCAGTGGTATCTGGATCAAGCCCTTGGTCTTGACCATCTGTGGGGCAGGTCCTGATACAGTATGTTCTTAAGGATATGCTTAATTTCATCCCCATTTAATAAAGCAATTAAGTGCGTGATTAATGAGTAAGAGGTGAAGCCCGTTCTGAAAATCAAGTGTGAACTTTGCTGAATTGGGACATTAGTACTAATTTACTTAAGAGGCCATGCTCACTCAGCATCTGGAAAATAAGTCTTCTGCAGACATACAGCCCTGGTAGATATCACTGATATTTACAGATCTTTTCAGACCAGAGCTATCTAAAATCCAACCATTTTGAAGAAAAACACTCTGGCTTGTTTGCGCCCTGTTACATACATGGGTCCTTCATTTTACAGTAAATCTGGCTACACTGCCCAAGTGTACTCATAATGATAGCCAGTTATTTTGAAGTAAAAACTGGTAGAAATTATTGATAGAAACTGTGTCAACAGTGCCTTAACTCACCATTGCTTCTTTTTCAGTCCAGGTGGTTTGTTTTGTTCTGCAGTCCTGAGGAAAATTTACTTCAAGTGAGTACTATGCAAATGAATATTTCCACTAACAAAATATGCATGGACAACTGAAATACAAAACATGTACATAAATTGCTGTGTGTTTGCTGAGGCATAGGAGTTCTATGTGTGACCTGAGCACATGAGAAATAATTCAAATCAGCTTAGCACTAGCTGAGCTGATGATCTGGAGAGTTATGAGGTGCTGCCTTATTTAAATGAATTTGCCAGAGACTAGAGGCACTGCTAAATGAGATCCAGTGAATGTCTCTGTGGTGGCCTATGAAGTTACCTGCCCCAGTTGCCATCTTGGAAGTTGCCCCTTTCCACAGCAAAACAAGCAGAACAGAAGGTGTGCCCCACCCCAGCTGCTTTATTGCAGGTGAAGTGAAATTTTACCTAAACCAACAGACTTCACACTGAAGCAGTTGAGGCACTGAGTACATTCTCTTGATTTCACTGTGAGTATGGCAGCCACAAATAAGGTGTTAGTAACTCCTTAAATTGTTGCAAAAAAGTGTGATAAGATCATCTATTAATACCCTGAATGAACAGCAACTTCATCTCAGCTGATGTGGGAGGTCCTGTTACCCCCCATGGCTTAGACCTGTGGCTTTTGTGCTTTGTGGCACACCAATGTATTGGTTTTAAACACAGCTTGCAAAGAACGGAAAGAACTGTATTGCAGGAATTGTCTTTTTAATTGCAATGAGATGGCTGCCAAAAAAAAGGCAACTCATCAGCTCATGTTTATAGGATTTACAGCCAAAATAGCTTCAGGTGGCTACTAAAACACAATTGCTTTCTTTTTGTGGCTATTCAATCTTGAAGGTCCTTTCTGGTGTGCACAGTGAAAAGCAATATATGTTAACTATCCTCTAAAAACAGACAAGATAAACATTCTTCCCTTTATTTCTTCCCTTCTAAGGATTTAAAGGAATTATGAGTATCTGCCAGATTTACAAGGAGGTGTGTTTTGGTGGTGTGGTTAAGAGGAATTCAGATTGTAGATGAGCCAAAGGATGTATATTTCTGCTGCTGAAAACAGGAATGAGTGCTTTGGATGTATATCATGTCCATGTGGCAGAAAAAAGAAAAATCTGTAAAGTTTTCTTCTTGCTTAAATGACAAATCCATAAACTTTAAAATGCCTTCAGCCTTTTCAGTATTGAGGCCAGCTCTGATAGCTTCAGTAGCAGTATGACTTCTCTGGCCTCTGATTTACAGTTCTTGATTTACTGCAAGAGATCAAGCTGAAGGCCACTGCACCTCCAATTTACTACTTCATTCAGTATTTTGGGTATGTTGTTTATTAAATTGTCAGCTATCACTGCACAGGCAATACCAACTGGTATAACTATACTTCCCATCTGTGGGTTTGGCACCCCACTGAATAGCTCTCTAGTCACACTCTTCCGAGTAAAGAAAGAAAAGCAAAAAAAAAGACCTCCAAACCTGCAGCTTGATGTATTCTCACTGAAGAATGCTCAAGTTACCACTGGAGTATTACAGAAGGGGCAATCGCTTCAGACAGAGAGACTGGGATTTAAAAACTGGTGCCCACAGTTTACCTGACTGAATTTACTAAATTGAAAATGCCAAGTGTGACTGCAGTCCCTTCTGCCAGGAGAATTAGATGATGGGCCATGCTGAACAGCTGGAAAATGGCAAAGTCTCCTGTCATTACTGCACTTCACAAAATGGACATCTGTTGCAGGCTGAGATAGGCTCCTAAGGGAATCCCTACATGATCTTCTGCAGGAAGGCTTAAACTTTCTCTACCCACATCCCAACTAGGTGCATGCTCCAGACTGAAGGGCAGCCATGTTAGGCACAGGTAGGACTGATGGAAGAGATTAACAAAGTGCCTGAACAAAGCAGCTTACCTCCCACATCCCAGAACTCTGTAGACTGTACATCCAATTTCCAGGTGCTTTTTTGTTCCCTTCATTCCTTTCATAGGGAAGATAGGCACCTAGCTCAGTATTGCAAACAGCAGCATTTTATTTTGCTTTTAGGTATGGCATTATCAGTATTACAACATCCAAAATGGCACAAAATATCAATGTGTTATTTTGGATCTTCCCCAAGGACCAGAATTTGGCTTTTAAAAAAATCATATTTTTTAGGAAGCATGTGTTAGGGGTCTATTAACCTCTCTACAGCTGACACTCACTCAAGGCCATGTGTGCAGCAATTTGTTACAATGCCGCCAAACCTGGCAATTATGGGATGCCAGTTCTTTCTTCTCTGTTGTGAAGTGAACACAGTCATCATTTGTTTCTATTTTTGCATGAAAATGAATCACAGTGTAGAATGTACTGTACTACAAAAGGGGTGGAAGAAAATAGTTCTATGATACATGTTGGGAGACAGAAGCAATGGCTTCCTGCTATGATTCACGCCTGTACTACCCAGGCATTCCAAAAATGGTTTTCTTCACAATTAGCTGCAAAATCTGTAAACCATAAAAGGGAAACCATCAGTTTAACAGCAAGTGATTCAAGCTGGCTGCTTGAAATAAAAGAAGGTGGCAATTCATGGAACAAGTGAAATGTCAAAACTTACTGGACAGTTTCTCCTAATTAAATTTCTAATTAGGCAGCCCACAGTGGCAGTCTTTGCTCTGGAATGACTTACTATGCTTCAGAAATTGATACGGTTTGATGAGAACCAACCCCTAATACTTACTATGGTGTGTCTGTGGCATAGTGCCACCTCTGTGCAGCCGCTTGTTGTGGACAGGTGTCTGTACAGGATTGGCTGGATTGCAGCCCTGCTCCCCTGGACAGCTGAGAGGCTGCTGCCCATATATTCTCTGTGGAACAGACTTGGCAGAGAGAAGGCAGTGTGTAGGCTGAGGCCTGGCAGATTGCACTTCCCTCAGCACAACAAAAAAGTGAAAACAACACTGTTGAGAGCACTCAGCTGGATGTCAGCTGAAATATGAAGATGTGGGTGTTTTGCATTTTTGGGACCTCCTCAAGCTTGGCATAACTAGGTATGTCTCAAGGACAATGTACTCCTTCCAAGGGTTTCTATGAGGTCTGAGGATCTGTCATCTTTGACTAGGAGAAGTTTACAGTTACAAGACAGGGTGAACTGGAGCTATAGCTAATGATGCACCTCTTACAATTTAGCAGCAGAATATTTATTAACACATGCATCCTGAGAGGTTCCATGTACTTGGGAATGACTCTGGGAAAACATATATACACAATTATTACTACAGAAGCATGCACAATTTATTACAGTTTATTACAATTTATTACTGCTAATTTACTTTTTTAAACTGGAATCAGCAATGGTAATGCTTGTGTATGTTCTGCCTTGTTTCTGCCATACCTAACTCAGCCACTGTCTTGGCTGTATTTCTTACAGTAGACAAAGAGCCCTTTCACCTTTTTTGGCTTAATCTATTTGCTGATCAACAATCTTAAGGTGCCACTAATTTCTCGATATCTGATAAAAATGAGAAAAGGGTTGGTTTTTTTATCCTGAGTTATCTGTGCATTACCATATTTAGAATTCTAGATCAAATAGTATTTTTAAGAAATAAAATAAACATCACTACAGTTCCTCACTGTTTATATGAAAGTATAGCAAAGGATTGTATTAATACAAATTATCATGGGACAGATGCTGTCATTTAAGTAAAAACTCACCATTTATTTGAAAATCCTTTAGAATCTCATTAACTGCTCTATGCCAGGTAACTTATTTTGGTAGGAGAGCCATTCTGAGTAAACGGCAACTTCCTAAATGAGTTACAGATACTGCTATTATACAATGATTTGCAGCAAACTATCTCTAACAGTTCTAATGTACTTGCAGCCTTGGAATTTCAGCCAGAATCTGGAATGCTTTATGGACAAACTAGAGCTGCTTGGCTGCTGATTTGAAGAACACATTTATACTTCGTGTTTATTTTGCTGTGTAGCTGTTTTGTGCCAGAAATGTTCTCATCCAACCTTAAGCTAACAACTATTTATAAATGGCATCTCTGCTAAGATTTTTGATCGTATGCCCTAAGCAATCTCATACGTAACTTCTCCCTTTCTAAATTTAATCATTATCATAATAGTGATACAAACTGATGCACCAGTGCAGTGCCACTGTGTGTGGGGCTAGATTTTCAATTTTATAAATGCATACCAACATCCTGGGAATGGATTAAAATACAGTTATGGTCAGTAAAAGGATTTTGTAAAAGCAATGACTCTATGTTCTATATTAATTCTGAATTACAAACATAGCAGAATATACACAAGTCCAGCTTTCTAGATATTCTCTTTATCCTGGTACTAACTGTAAGGAGAAAGCTCTGTGCTATTAGCAATCTCAGGTCTATTGCTAGATATCAGCTGCTCCACATGTAAGATTTTTTCTTTGTCACTTAAACATTTCCAATATTCCTTTAATTTACACCCTGTCCAAAACAGTCTTTTAACACTCATGCTCCCAAGGGTCTGTGACTCTCAGGATTAAGGGCTCCTGGGATTTTTTTCTGGGGTCCTGTGTCAGGAAGGGCCTTTCCCACTAATCATCAATCACCTTTACTTAATCATCCCCAAGTCATATTTGCTAGACTTACAAATTAAGGGACCATTTTTATTGACTATTACTCAAGAAAGTCTCAGCACTGTTTGATTTAGCTCAGTGAGAAGGACTGTGGGCCTCCAAAGACCAGTCTGATTATGCTTTTCCCCTTCCCTCCTGCTCATCACTGAAAGCTTAACCAGGTCTCTGAAGCTGACATGTAGTCTCAGGCCGGCCCTGCAGCTGCCACTGAGGGTCAGATCAGCACTGCCCCAGCAGCTCAGGCTGCCACCATCCAGCGGGGATAGCCTGGAGCTCAGCCATTCAGCTACAACTGTCATGCTTGTAAACCTTCTGCCTCGTGCACTCCAGTTCCTTTTTGCAAGCCTCTGAAGCTTGTTTTTGTAGTGCTTGGTCACTAGTGTTTGTTTCACCACTTGTGTGGCATTGTGGCCTGTGGATTATGTCCATGGCTGCCTTCCCTTACTCTTCCTTGTTCCAAAAGCAGAAAGTAATCTCCCCTTTGACCTTGTCTGACCATTTGGCCTTTTCTTTGATGAAGGAGAAAGCATATAATTTACAAACCATTCCCACATGGCATAAAAACATCCTGCTGAAAGGATTTGTTCCCATCTCCATCAGAGGACCAGTATATTTGAATATGCCAAATGTATATAAAAATGTCTCTGCAAATATAAGAGAACCACAGCAAGCCTTTCCACTTTTCTGGGAGGCTGCTGCAAGCCTGTTTCAATTGGTGGCTATTGGGTGTGGTATTAAGGTGCTTTTACCTTCTTTCTTACTTCTCTCTTGAAGCACATGTAATAGCTATTACTAACCATCAGCAATCAAACCCTTGTCCTAGAATCCCATCAATGAAGCAGCTGTAGAGTGAGAACAGCAGTATTTGTAATGGTAGGGTGCAGCAGATGCTCGCTAGATTGTAGGTTGGCACATACTCTACCCACTTCCAAAATGCTTCAAGAGCCAAGAGAAATCTATTAATATCATTCTAAGTGTCGTGGCTAAGGTCCAGGTAATGAGAGCCTCAAGAAGGTATCTTTAGAGAAGCAAAAGTCTCTATTTCCATCTATAGTATGAAAACTAATAATATGCTTTTATGGATAGTCATTAAATGGTTACTGAATCAGTATCAGTGTCTTTTATCTGCCATGCAAGTAACAGTAATGGTGGATGTGAGATCTGCCAAAACTGTGGTCTGTTTTGGACAGCTGAATTTTCTTTTAATTCATAAACCTGTTTTCTTTAGTCATCTGCAACCTCTGTCATGCTTTTCCTTTGTTGCTCATTCTTTTTTCCTCTTCTCTGTCTTGTCCATAGGATTATTCTTAGCATCCTACCCACTTTTATTCAAACATACCAACTTTGATTGATCTGATCTTTTATTCTAGCTGACCAACACGAGAAAAATTATGACACAAAACCTAGGGAAACTGCTGCTGAAGTTTAAGAAAGAAATTCAGTAAACTTTTCCTTCTTTTATAATTACTTACTGTATTTTGTGTTTACTATTTGTCATAAGGTTGATCTTTTGGATACAGGATTCTAAACTTACCATCCTAGATGACAGGAGTATTTGATGGCACATTCATTTATTCAGGATGATGAAGACTAATTCTTTGTTAGACTGCAAAGGAAAGACATTGTGATTGATTGACATTTAAGAAACAAAGGGAAACAACTAAGGAAGTTAAAGATTCTGGAGGCTGATGGGAGTTTTTCTCCTGGCCAATAACTGGCCATTTCTGAGAATTGACAGTAGTTTTAACCATTGAAAAGTAAGATCAACCTGTGAACACCTACCTTAAGACCTAAGCCCGGAAATTTCTGCTCTCTTTAGTTTCCGGCTTTGAAGAGGTAACAGAGCTCCAGTTCAGCCTCCTTCCCCACCAGGCCGGACGAGGCTGTGGGGGAGCGGGGGTGGCCGGAGCTCTCCGGTTCTCGGGGGAGGGATGGAGACTGTGAAGTGTCAGGAGCCCCTTCCCGGAGCTGAACCCCTTGGAGGGCTCGCTGAGCCTTGCACAGTGGGGCTGCTGGGCCAGGCCGGTCCCTGGCTCAGCTGCAGTTTCTGCTGCTGCTGAATTTCACCAGACACTGCTGAGTAAAGGGAGGGAAAGCTATTGGCCTGAGGCGTGCTGAAATAGTAGCCACACTCCCCCAGAGCAGCCATGGAAAAAAAAATCTTACATCGCAAACAGCTCCAGCCGCTGCTCCGGCAGAGATCACAGGACCATCCACAAGGCCTGGGCAAGATTTTAACCCTTTCACTGCCCAGATGAGACTTGCAGATCAGTCCTTTTTTCCAGAGAGAGAGGGAAAGAAAGAGAGAAATCAGCATGTAAAGAGATAACATAAACTATGAAAGACAGTAAAGAAAGGAATTAAGCTTCAGATAGGGAAGAGAAATAAAGAGATGCTTTAATGAAATACTCTTTTGCTAAAACTATGGAGATAGACAATAGTGTTGTGAAAAAAACTCCTTCATGACAGAGTATTTTGGGGGGAATAAGAGTATTTCAAAATGTGTATCTAAGCAAATAGTGAAGTAGTTGTGATCCTATGAAATGCTAGAACAGAAAAAGAAAAGTGATAGTTGTTGAAAATGTGTCTCATAAGGGACAAAGAGAAAACTTCTGTTTCCAGAAATGATCACAGAGACAAATGAAAATAACTTTTTGCCTTTGAATAACTCATCCTTAAAATGACATGATCACAGAGACAAATGAAAATAACTTTTTGCCTTTGAATAACTCATCCTTAAAATGACACCCCTTGACCCTATGGCCCATGAGTACACCTCAGAGTGGTGTGAAATGGGAAGAAAGAACTGATGGCAGTTTTCCGGGCAGCTGATAACAGAAAAATAGAAAGCCATGAGAAAATGGTTTTCTTGTAAAAAACTCCATGAAAATGGTTTTCTTGTAAAAAACTCCATGAATTAACAAAAGAGAACTTCTTTTAATCTACAAAGACTGATAAAGACTATAGCAAATTGAGATTCTTTTAACCACCAAGGTTTTTTTGTTTGTCTCTATGTTGTCATGGGAACAAGAGAATGGTTGAGTAGTAAAGAAAAAGGGTTTCTAGAAGTTTTATTCTGGTTTCTTGTTCTTGTAGTTTTGTTAATAAACTTTATTCCTTTTAAGTTTTAAGCCTGTTTTGCCCTTCTTCTAATCCATATCTTACAGCAAGAAATGAGTAAGTTTTCTAGTGATTTTTTAGCTAATGCTTTAAAACCACAACAGACATCATGCAGTTTTAATGTCCATCTCAAGACATTTTATATTTAAATTGAACTTACACAGTTCATGAATTAGCCTTAAATCATCTACATGCTGTCACTAAGCATTTTCTTAACAGCTGTTCTTTCTTTTAGTTAATTACTTATCAAATGTCAAAATGTGATGGCTAAGTGAAATGTCCTGTAATCTGGACAAACCCTAACTTCACAATCATTTTCTGTAGACAAATAAAATTAGGTGCTACATGGAAAATCATGAGACATTGTGACTGCACAAAAGCTTCATTTTTATGCCTGACTAAACCTGACAATCAAAAAATAAGGGAGGGGAGCAGGGAGAATAAGCATACATTGCCCTACCTAATAGTTATGAACAGGCTCAGGAGGATCACAGCTTTTAAAGACCAAGTTGTGGGGTTTTTTTTCTGGAGACTAATATAAAATCTTTTTATAGAAGTTTAAAGTTCAGAATTAGTTGGTGGAGGTTATTGGGGATTTTTCAGATGAGTATTCAAAAATCTGCTCATATTCAACAAAATCTATGTTTTCATTCAATATGGGACTAATAATCTGAAACTTCTGGAAAAACAGACATGACTGTAATAACTGACCTATAGCATTACCTATATCTTCTGTGTCTATAAATTTATTATTTGGGTTTGGTTTGGAATTGGGTTCAGGATTGAATTATCTGTCCAAAAATGTAAGCTTCAGTTTATTTCCCAGTAAGAAAATAGCATAACCATTAGAAAGAAACATATAAATACAAAGAAAATTTATTGCATAATACGTTAAGGCTATTTTAGTGTGCTTTTCCTCTTCACAGAGTTGCTATGTATTTTCTTAATGGTAGAGATCAACTTCCAAATATAACTGGGAATGCCTTTTCTGGATTGCTTTTGATTGCTTCATTACAGCAATTTCAAGTTTGGGCCTAAAATGAGATAAGAATATGTTGAGGAAAGCTTGAGTTATGGCATAGTTTGCTGTCAATGTCTACAAATAAGTGATATGGATAGGACTTCAGTTTCATATTAAGACAAACTTCCCTAAATAATATTCTTTGTTAGTTCTCCTCTAACCCTGAAATGACAGGAGATGCTAAAATAACACAGAAGTTTTATACCAGTCTATCAAGTCTAATCTAATCAGAAATAAGCCTTTAATGTATCACTGGCAAAAAAAAGAAAAAAATGAGGCCAGAATCTTGTTATATATATGAAAGGACTTTAGCTTAATAGGATGAGTCTACATTTATTTTAAACCTTGTAGTTACTTCTGTGAATGAAGAGCAGGGGATCAGAGTATCTCAGGAATGAAATATCTGTTTGTAATTCGGCTCTGGAAAGAGGAGCTCTCATTTGCATATCCAAAGCCTACCGGTAAAAAGGCTCTAGTGAAAGGAGCAGAAAACCCTGGCTGAGCCAGGCAGCAGCTTGAGCTATCCAGTGAACAAAAGCAGGAGGACTACAGTCGAAAAGGACAACAGGCAGTGTTTTGCTCTGAGGACTGGAAAATAATGTACCAGGATATGCTGCCTTAGTTTGGAACTGTGTTAACTCACAAACTGAGTATGACTCCCTGGAGAGGGAAAAGCAAAAAAGTAATATAAAAAGGGGTTATATCCCTACCAGGCATCCACAACACCAAACAGGGGAAACTGAGGCAAAGGGTTGTTTCCCACGGTGCTGTCAGCACCCATGCATGTCAGCAGCCATGTTTTCCTTTCATTCTATATAAAAACAAGAGCTTATTTAGCACTCTTCTGTTAGTCCTTTTCCCTCCCTTGTTTGTCTGTTAGGAGGGAAGTATGGCCTATCACAACAATTCAGGGAAGATATTTTCTTTTCCAATTCTCTGAGCAAAAGGAAATCTTCCTCCTTTTTTTTGCTAGTTATACCTAAGAAAAGAGTTGCATGTACTGTTTATAAGTAACAAATTATTCTGTGTGATCTGACTGCAGTCTAAACAATGATGAAAAATTTAGGAATTAGTTGGTAGTGATGCACTGGAAGATAATTAAGTTCTCAACTTCTTGTTTATATTACAGCATCCATATGTAATGTTTGATAATGTATTTGTTGTGACATTTACATGATTATCTGCATCAGTTAAAATGAATGTTAATTTATAATCAACTGTGACTCGAATGCTGTCCCATGACATTGAGTTATCCACAACAAGAAATGTTCCATTAATCATTCCAAGAGACTAAAGGGTATGGGTTTTAACAAAAAAATAGCTGCCTAGAAGTACTAATGATGTTCTTAGGCTTTTTTTTTTTTTTTTAAATTCTGGTGTTTATTCAAAATATCCACTTACTTTGAAACCTGTACTCATAAGAAGTTTCTTTCTTGTACATTGCTTTCCTTAAAAGTGTTTGTATCAATGAAAATATAAATATGTTTAAAAATACATAAATAGTATGGAGGGATCAGAAATTAAGACAGTTTTTAAGAAGCGGTTTTGAAACAGGAAAGACCCCTGAACTGAGAAATAACTGAGAAATAATCTCCTTTTATTCTAGAAATTCATAATTTGGCATATGCACTTCAGGATGTTTTTCCTCAGTTACGTGCTCATTGTCTGAGCTGCACCAACGACTTGAAGAATGTGCAGCACACTGTAAAGTCAGGCTGCTAGAAACCACTGTGTGAAGTCAAAGTTCCTCATAAGCATCCGTGCTCCTTCTTCATTGATTGGGGTGATCTTGTGCTTTCCAAGTGCTATTATGCATGCTGTTTGTTTAAAAAATCAAAGCAGCAACAAACTTTGAGTGCATTGAGATGATTCACATCACAGCTACTGGTGCTCAAAATACTGTGAGCTACATATGGTAAAGAATACACTTGAAAAGCATTTATCTAGCCACAAAAGTCTTTTGTTGTTGATGGGCAATGTAAGGTCTGTGAGTCACCCACCACACTTAATCAACATGTCTAATAATTGGAGAAAAGGAACTCCCCATGGAAGTTGTTGTGTAATGTTCATTTTAATAGGTTCTTGCTCCTGCCTATCCTTTTGCATAATGTGAGGACACCTAGTATCTCTGCCACATAAATAACCCCAGTGACTTCATTGCGAGTAAAGTATGGAGTACTTGTGAAAGCCAGTGGTAAAACCTGCACTGTGTGTGGTGAGGACAAGATCTGCAAGGTCTTTCTCTGCTCAGCTCTGCCAAGTGCGAGATGAGAATCATGGGTCCAGTGTCTTCTTGTGTCTCCACTATGTGAATAGTGTAAAATGCTTGCCAGCCATGCTGCTACCAGTCTTGAACTCAGAGGTACTCCATTATCTCTTTGAGTCTCAGGTGCTTTGTATTCACTTTTATGCAATCTGTCATTTTTGTGTCTCAGGCTGAATCCTACTTTCAACCAAGTATTTTCACAAAGTGAGTGTGAGTTCCAATTTTTGCTTCAAATCTGTCCATGCAGGAAGCAATTCTTGCAGTCACTTCACTAATGTGCAGAGGTGCCAAGTTTTGCCTAGCTGACTATCCCCTGGACAATGAGGGGGACTGTGTGTGCCTCCTGGGAGGGCTGGCATTGATGGGGTAGAGCAACATGTGGGGCAGGATCCCTGCTGCAGCTCACTTGTAAAATAGGCCTCACAGTGTTGTGACCCAGATGGTTTTATTTGTGCCAGAAATGTAAATGTCTGGGCTATGAGGCAGGAGCTACACAAAAAAAAAAATTCAGCAAGCTTTGGAACACAAAGCTGCCATGCTGTTCAGATGCATAAGTTTAATTGAGTTTAATTCAGATTTTAGTCCTAACTGGGGTTGTTCAACCCCTCTGTAAGTTAAGACATTTTATTTGGGTAGTCAACATGGTTTTTAGAACAGATCCTCAGGTTAGAAAACTTTGACCTCAAGTTTTATTTACAGTGTAGGACTTTCACGCAAATTGCAACACAGAGCAGGGGCGTGGGGGAAATACAACATCTGGTCAGGTTTTATAGCCTCTACTCTAATGCATCA